TCTATGCTTTTCCTAATTTCAGGATTGGCTTCTATAGTAGTTTCTACACAGAGTATAGCTGGACTAGTCACAGACATTAAGAAACAATGAGTTGTGATATTCTCTATGCAACAACTTGTGACTACATATGTTCATGGAAACCTTCGTCTTCTGGCAATCAATTATATATGTGTGTATCCTAGGTGCATGTATATACAGGCATACATACCACATACATAATACTTCAGTTTTTATTTCTTTAATAATATCTGTTAAGGTATTCTAAAACTATATGCAACTGTGAAGACATTTACGGGTCTGACAAAAAGACATATGGCATTTTGGTTTACGTGGAAATACAAATTTTATATTGTTGATTGATATTGTTCTTTTGATAAAAGTACCAATCTAAAGCCTTTTTAGCCTTCTTATTGTTTGTTTCAGAACAATAAATTAATGATAAAATATAAATTTTAGATGCAACAAAGATCTGATTATGTGATTTAAGTGACTTCTCCATTTAGAAATCCGTGTGCTGTCAAGGTGAGGAGGAATATTGTTAAGAATTTTAACCAAACCTAGAGATGAGTCAGTGCAATGTATTAGCTGGCCTTGTGCTACACCAACCACATTCTGCTTCTTGATCTAGCTTTTTCTTGTTTTTATTTCTATTTTGCCTGAAGTTAACATAACTTGGGGTATAGTTTCACTTTTGTAATATGTTTATCATTTATCAATAGTTTAAAGATAATTTTAATTCTTATGCACCTTCTTTATATTGTTAAAAAACTAACTGAAATATGATCAGTTTGTAGTACTAATTAAATAATTTATTCTGAAAGGAAACATTTCAAATAATTTCTTCCCATTTCTTGGTATTTTTTTTTCTCTAATTGTTATGAGCTTTGGAAAAAATATTACATTTCTGCTTATTTATGAGGTAGGAATTATATTTTTTATGGTGACTCATTTTGTGTTTTACATACAACAGTGTTTGTTGAAATAGGAGTGGCAGGGCTGCGTCCCCGGCACCCGGCCGCCCACATGGCTAGGTTATGCCCCGAAATAATTACACGGAAACTGTATTCTATTAAACACTGCCTGGCCCGGCTAGTTCCAGCTTCTTATTGGCTAGCTCTTACATATTGTTCTAACCCATTTCTAATATTCTGTGTAGCCCACGAGGTGGCTTACCAGGGAGAATCTTAACCTGCGTCTGTCTGGAGTGGGAGAATCATGGCGACTCTCTCACTCAGCTTCTTTCTCCCAGCATTCTCTTTTGTTTTCTCCGCCTACCTAAGGGTTAGCCTATCAAATGGGCCTAGGCAGTTTCTTTATTAATAAGAAATCACTCCCACATCAAGTGTTAGATTTAAGTTTAATGATGTCATGTTCAAAATAGTCATTAATCTGGCCTCCTATTCACATATACATTTACATCTAATAGGTGTCATGTAACCTGCTGTATACTGGAAACAGAAAAAAGTAAAGAACATGTGATAAAATTTAAATTTATAAATTTTTAAATTTATAAGCAACCCTAAAAATATAAGAAGATTTTATATAACCACAGTTAATATTTCAAACTGAGGTTGATCACTTTAATGCTTTATTAACTAATATTTAACTAATATTAGGTCAGGAACTGTGTGTTACCCAAGACAGAGCTGTTTGTAAGTAGGTAAAGTTTTAGGAGGGTTGGGTAGTGGCAACAGGACCTAAAAGGAAATACTTTGCAAACATACCAATATGACATGAGTAGACAGCATGCATCAACCAGAAGAAATCGTCTGCTCCGCTCCATTAGACAAGACCATAATCCCACTCAGATATAAGAACAAGAAACTTGCCTCGTTTTTTCCCAAAATTTTCTTTGGCTTTATAATATTCTAAGAATGTATATTTTGAAGAACACTATTGTGAACATGTACATAGGACACCACTGACTCTCACAAAGGCTGGTCTGTGCCCTCAGTGCAAAACAAGGAGGTGGGGAGAAAAAGCCAGTAATAAACGATCAAATACCAAGTCATCAACAAACGCAATGCTAAGCAACCACTGTGGTGACTGGACGTTTATTCTGAGAGACTTTAAGAAATATTACAAGCAAATAGAGATCAGCTGCAACCAAAGGCAAATAAGAGATGAGGCATTTGACAAACTGGAGGGTTTGACATTTTCTGGTCCCTCCACTGTTCCAATAACACGAGCATCCAGTTTAGTACACGCTCCTGTGGGATTATGATTAGTAAGATCCTCCTGGACAAAATGAAGGCTCTTAGGAAAACATGCATGAAAAGTGTAATTAAGGAAGTCTCCAGTGGAGTAAGGTTCTTATGTACGAACCCCTAGCAAATAACATATGTTCATGAGATTCCCTTATACAGGGAGTTTCTAGATTTCTACAGCCTCTTAAGCACATACCCATCATCAAGGTATAACCTTAGGTATAAAGTAATCAACAAAGTTGATTAGGAAGATTTGATATATAATATAGAAGAAAAAAGTCATAAAAACAAATAAAACCAACTTGGAACAATAAGAAATCTGCGAAGCACACACACATTCTACAACATCGTGATGGCCAGTTTTGTCATTGTGACGAGACAGAATCTTTTGGCAGTCAAATCAAATATTTGTCTTTGAGGGAGTTTCCAGACAGGAAATACCTACTATGAATGTGGGTGACAGCATTCCATGTCCTGGAGCTCCAGAATAGATACAAGAAAACAAGCAGAGCACGCATGGTCATCATTCTGTGATATCTGACTGCAAAAGCAATGTGATTTGCTGTCTCATATGCCTACTGCCATGCCTTCCCTGCCATGACAGACTGAATCTATCCCCTCCAAGTGGATGGCAAAATAAACTTTTCCTTCCTTCCTTCGTTCCTTTCTTCATTCCGTCCTTGGTTCCTTCCTTCCTTCCTTCCTTCCTTCCTTCCTTCCTTCCTTCCTTCCTTCCTTCGTTTCTTCCTTCCTTCCTTCCTAAGTTGCTTTTTTGGAGGGGGTATTTGATAACAAAATGAGAAAGGCAAATTATATGCTTGCATATTTATTGCCAGATTCACAAAAGCTGGTAGGTTAAGTTTTGCCATTAATGCTTGAAGAAGCCTCATCTATACATGACTGCTATTTACTCAGTTAAAAATGGCAGGCTACAAAATTTATTGCTGAAATGAGAGTGAGGATCAAGTCTGTAAACACATATAAAGGTCTCAGTTCAGTACCTGCTACATAGTAAACATAAATATGATCCACTATTAAAAATAAAAAAAAGGAGAATGAAATCCAAATGTATCTGTTATATCATGGTGAGATGATAACAAACAAACTTTTCCTTAAGAAAATATGAAATTGAGACAGGCATGATGGAGCATGTCTGTAATTCTAGCCATTTAGAGGCCAAAGATAGGAAGATCAGGAGTTCAAGGTCATTCTTTGCTTCATAGTAAATTTGAAACCAGCCTGAGATATATGAGACCTGGTATTAAAAAAAAGCAAAAAAAAAAACCTCACAAAATAATCAAACGGCAATGATTCTAGTTGTGAACATTTATGTTAAGATATAGCACTAACAGTAAAAAAAAAAAGAACAAAACAGTATACTGCCTTTGCTCATGGGTATCCTGAACCTGATGGTAAGACCCTATTGCTGAAAACTCCTCAATCCGAGCTCACAGACATGGAGAAATAAAGCTGGTGATGACCTGGAATTGTTCCTCTGCCAGAATGTGCTACAAAGACAGGCTGGTAGAGGAGAAAAGTCATCAAAAGTCTTTTCCTGTGAATCCTGACAGTACGGTCATGACTGACTTGGCAATTTTGGTATCTTGGATGTTACAGGAGTAATCCATGGATTTCTGATTGATTTTAGAACTCTCTCCATGGGATATAATTCATGTTTGGTACTGTAAAATTAGCTGTGAGTCCACAAGTGGGTATATCATAGGCATTAGTGGAGATCTTACTACTTTATTTTTGGTGTGTGAAACAGATATAGCCTCAAACTGTCTTTGAAGTACATATCTGAATACCAATAGATTAGTGCAGTTCCCAAGTCTCACTTAGAAAGTTTGCTTAAGCAGTGAACAGCAATTAATACAGAGACAAGTCGTCAGAGGGCAGAGAATGAGAAACTGGTGTGTGCAGCCCTAAAGGGGACATCTATATTATAGTCATTCCCCTCATGGCTTGGAGAATATTGTGGATATGGGACAGAAACATTGTAAGAGCCGTACTGGGGATGGTTGTTGTGAAACAAAGTCTTCTAGAAATGACAAAGTCATGGCCTTCATGAACTCAAAGTATCTTGCACTAGATCAAGGAAGTCAAAATTTCAGCATAGATAATAAAGTCTTACCCCTACATGAGGAGCTTTCATAGATAAAAGACTACCAGAGTAGGAAGACTGAGTGTTCTTTAGGCAAGTGGCCTTGTTGCTTGTCCATATTCAGTGGATGATGCTACCCCATTCACTTACAGGAATTACTGACAACACTCAGTGGGTTGTGAAAGTATCCAAGCTGAGAGTAGTGGTGGCAAGTAAATTCTGAGAGGACTTATGGAAAAGTAGAGCATAGATATGACTAAAATACATTTTATGTGTGTGTGTGTAAAATTCTCAACACATTAAAAGTTCATAACTATAAATTTTTATCCTTCTCCTTTCTTATTTTAAAATAATGATGATAAAATAAGGCACTTAGTGATTGTTTTAAAAAAGTGTGCAGAATTAATGGACAAATCAATGAGTTGACAACAAGTTACTAGCGTACGATGTATATTTTGTATAGGAATTGAATCCAAAAGCTATGGCATGCTCCACCAGTGAGCTACATTCTTGGTTTTAAATTATTTATTTACTTAATTAGCTGTTTGGTAACAAAATGACCACTTAACAAATAAAGAAGAGAGATGAGAATTTATCTTTCTCATCTGTCCTAATCTTGGAAGGTTAGACTGTCAAACAATTAAAAATCCAGACTTCATTAGTCTTTTGAAGAAGATTCCAACCTCATCATGCTACTGCTGAATCAAACCGAGATGACCCCAGCCTCATTGATTCTGAATGGGATCCCAGGCCTGGAAGACATGCACGTCTGGATTTCCTTCCCGTTCTGTTCCATGTATGCAGTGGCTATGGTGGGGAACTGTGGCCTCCTCTACCTCATCTTCTTTGAGGCCTCCCTTCACAGGTCCATGTACTACTTCTTGGCTATGTTGTCCTTTACCGACCTTGTGATGTGCACTGCTTCAATCTTCAAAACTCTCTGTATCTTCTGGTCCTACCTTAAGGAAATTAGTTTCACTGATTGCCTGGTCCAGATGCTCTTCATTCACACTTTGACAGGGATGGAGTCTGGGGTACTTATGCTGATGGCTTTGGACCGCTATGTAGCAATTTGCTATCCTCTTCGCTATTCTACCATCCTCACCAACCCTGTCATTGCAAAAGCTGGGTTTGCTACTTTCTTGAGAGCAGTGGTGCTCATCATTCCTTTGATTTTCATCACAAAGCAACTTCCCTACTGCAGAGGCAATATAATAAACCATACCTACTGTGACCAGTTACCTGTAGCCAAAGTCTCCTGTGGGAATATCAAGGTCAATATTGTCTATGGTTTGATGATAGCCCTCTTGATTGGGGGCTTTGACATCCTGTGTATCACAGTTTCCTACACCATGATCCTGAGGGCAGTGGTCAGCCTGTCCTCTGCAGACACTTGGCAGAAGAAGGCCTTCAGCACCTGCACTGCCCACATCTGTGCCATCGTTTTCTCCTATGGTCCAGCCTTCTTTTGTTTCTTTTTAAACCGATTTGGGGGCAACACCATCCATCCATCTTGCCTCATCATTGTGGCTAATATTTACCTGCTTTTGCCTCCCACTATGAACCCTGTTGTTTATAGAGTGAAAACCAAGCAGATACGAGACTGTGTCATTAGGATTCTTTCGGGGTCTAAGGATGAAAAACATAGTTGACAGAAAAAAGAATAAAAAGGGAAGGGAAGTCAAGAAAACACGGGATGATCTGGTTTAAATGCGAAACCCATGTGCTCCTGTGTTGAATTCTTGGTTCCCAGCTGGTTGTACTATTTGGGAAGGTTTGGAAACTTTCAAAGTAGGGCCTCACTGGAGGAAGTAGGTCACTGGGGAGCCACCCCGAAGCATTATACTTTGTACCCCTGTCTCTGTGTTTTCTATCTGTCACAAAGTGAAGAATTTCAACAGTCACATTCTCCTGCCACAGTGATGTTCTGCTTAAATACTGGGACTAGCCACGAGGAAAAGAACCCTCTGAAATCATGAGAAAAATTAACTGTCCATCACTTAAATTCTTCGCTCAGGTGTTGTGGTCACAACAACAAGAGTGCAACATAAGAGCCAAGAAAAGAAATAGGAAGAAATATTTTTGTCAACTGTGTAGTCAAGGTCGAGAGATGTCCTTCCTAGAGATCATTGTGACCATGACAAGAAGGGCACTGAGTTGATTTTCAGATGTCATTGTCACTGTTTTTCTTCCTTCCCTCCCTCACCACTTTGATCCTCAGTACAAATTTCCAAGGACAAATACCATAAAGAAATTTATTAAAAGAAATGACAAGGTAGGGGGAGGTCATGCCCCAGATACAGTTGGTCCTGTTGTGGAATAGTGGTCAGAATGCCCCATGGAAGGCAGTGGTTGCACTCTTCTGAGAAATGTGTGTATCACCACTCCAGTCTCTCACACATCACATTGTCTTACTGATGAAGAAGACGGGAAACCGCCAGGTCATTAGTGTAAAACATGAGCCTTTGTTTCCAGTTGCAAGACATTTACAAATGTGTGCTGTGAAATTAGAAAAAAATAAGATATGTGTGTGTACTGATAAGATTAGAAAAAAAGAAATGACAGTTATTTAGTCTATACAGGCAAGAAACAAACTAAGATAAAACAAGTGAGACACAGAAGTGTAAATTTAAAAAAGTTAAAATCTTGCAGAAGTAAAGGAAATGCATTCTACCAGACTCTGCAGAAAGTCAGGTGGGAAAGTGGAGTAAAACCTGTCAAAAGAGATGGACAACCTCCTCAAATCTCTAGTCAAATAGGAAACATTAAAAACAGGGTGAAAAATTCAGACTCCATTCCAGAAGGATTGGAATGATCTGAAGAGCTGCTCTATTCTCGAGGTAGTGAGCACAGTCACAGTTAAGACCAAACAGGAAGTTTGTATTATATCTGTCAGTAACTGACTCATTTTAAAAGGGAAGAGAGGGAGAGAAAGCTGCATGCAGCAACAGCAGAGTGAGGAAAGACACAGAGCATTTTCTTCATTTGTTTTCTCCTGAACAGTGAGACGCTATTTTAAACAGTCCCTTACTGAGTTCAGTGGCTCAGTGGTCCAGAAACCTTGGTGACCTGTGATCTGAGGGGATCAAAGCAGGAGTGGCAGGATTATGTGCAGAAACGTGCCCAGCAGATTACCTGTAAAACAGTGATGTAGCTTTGCATCAGAACCTGGAAGGACTCAGAGAGGCAGGAAACAATGTCTGCAGAGAAAAACTGACACAGGGTCCAATGCCTTCTCAACATTAGGAAGGACCAAGGAGGAACAGGGCCAGCATTAGCAACCAGGCATCTGCAGGACTTCACCGAACATGTGACATGACCCCCAAAACCCTCCGTACTGATGGGACCAGCATCTGTGATTTAACTTCAGCCTTGCATAGCACCATTCAAGGGTGTGAGCGTGTGTCTCAGGAAGGAATGAGAGAGGCTTCACCAGACAGTCAAAGGAGATTGCATCCAGACACTGCACACCCACTCCATGTCCTTCCCTTTGTGTTTGGCTTCCCTTTGACATCTAATGTCAGTTTAGAAGGCCAGATCTCTCCTGCTCTATTCCTGTCTTCTCTTTTTCCCTCTGTTTTCTCCTTTTCTATTTCTATTTTCATAGGCTTCACAAAGAACAAGGGCCAATCTGGCCTGTGGGCTCTCTGTGTCTCAGCCATCTGAAATGGAGTTGAGGCTAGTTGGTTGTATTTCCTTGTTTATTTCTGTGCATTCTACCTTGATCCCAGACCATTAATGCCTCCTCTCCCAGTCCCCACTCACCTCTGTTGTTCTACACTCTATCCACTTTCTCTCCTCTTATTTCTCTGTCAATCCAATATTAATCTCTAGTCTTACACTACTTATTTCATTTTTTTTACTTTCCACTCATACCATAGTAACTAGTACCTGAATGTAAACCATACTATCAGTGTTACTTTATTTCCTAAAATGGTTGGCATTTAAGGAGTGGTTACTTATCATCTGTCACTATATCTTCTTAGTGGTACACATACTGACAGTGATCATTGTTTCAGACAGTATACTACTTTAAGAAGACTAAGTCTGGTCTTATGAATACCAGACTAACAATGAAGATAACATCTCAAACCTAGTACAACCTATTTCCTCTTAAACATTACAAGCTCTTCCACTTAAAGAATACAGTTTTAAATACAACCAATATCTTGCACATGTCCTGATGCAACAACACAAGAAACAAGAAAAATCAAGGCAGTAGGCCCTTCTCCACAAACTACTGGTCTCACAGTGATGTCCTGTAACAAGACAGAATTAAGATGAATTCTACAATATTCAAAACAGTAATTAGGAGTATGTTTAAAGAAACCAGAGAGAAGAGGAATGAACCCATGGATAAATTCCAAGAGAAACACACACAAACAGCATGTAGAAGCAGAATTCAATAAATAGAAATACTGAAAATAAGTTATTAAAAAGTTCTAGGAAAAACATTACAAATTGTATGGGTCAAGGGAAGACAGAATATCAGGCCTTAAAAACAGTGTAGAGTGTGGTGTTTAATATTAATCGTCATCTGACAGAATCAATGAAGAGATGTGTCTCTGACGACATCTCATTGGGATTGTCAGGACTAAGTTAACTGAAGTAGGAAGACACAGCATAAATGTCAGTGGTACCACTCCATGGTTTGACATCCTGAATTTCATTAAAAGAGAAAACTAGCTGGGAATAGGTGTCCATCTCTCTTGTCTTCCTGATTGTATGTGTCATGTGACAAGCTGCCTCATACTGCAGGTGTTATGCCTCTCCTGCCTCAGTGAACAGTAAACTGAATTAAACACTTCCTTCCTTAAACTGATGTTGTCCAGTATTTATTTTTCTACAGGTTTAAGGAATTTATATTCACAAGCCCTCTCTACTGTTAGGGAACAGCCTTGATAAAAATACCACTTGCCAGGGTAGAAACATGGGAATTAGAAATATCTGAAAAAAGTACAAAGACGTGAAAATAATAAAACAGAGAACAGAAAAGTACTAGGAGGGTGTTTCCGTGAATACTGAAATCACCCACATTTAGTTTCTAATTGCTTAAAATATCCCAATCCCAGGAGGTAGAAGTAAGAAAAAAGACTGTACTAACATAATAGAAGGAAATGAACAGACCAGTTGAAGGTCATGGGCTGCTAATGGTAACTTGCCCACTGTGGCGTGGCCTCTTATACTATATATGCTAATGCAGAGTGTGCTTCAGGCTTCTTTTTTCAGCCTCTCTCTCTGTTCCAGTTGTAGATTTTGATTTCTGATCTCCATTCCAGCAGAAGACTCTGATTTGTGAGTTTACCCCTATATAAATAACCATCTGTTTCTCAATTCTGAGCTAGTGTGGTTTTTCTTTTAAATGACCATCTTAATTTGACACCCACGTGGAATTGGACTCCATGCCTACTGGGTGGATGCCCTAATGGCCTGGCCAGTCCACAGCCTAGACAGTCTTCCAAACCTGCCCACTTGGCTTGATTTTTACGTAAGAATTTTTTTTTTTTTTTTTTTTTTTTTTTTTTTTTTTTTTTTGTAGAATCCCCACCACAGCCGAGTTTACTGCATGTGGCAACTTGAAAATTTTCCAAGCACACCACACATGCATGACTGCTGCATTTCCCGGGGTGGTTCCTTGCTGCTTGGCAACTTGTGTAGCTTCTGGTTTCTGCGCCCTGCTCCTGAGTTCTGGTTTTCTTGCTCCATATATGAAATTGATTTAATGGCTTTTAATTTATCAAGCAAAGCATATTTCTCAGTATTTAACCAGTATCAAGGCAGAAAACTAAAGTGGCTAAGAAACTAAAGCAGCCCAGGACCATTCCTGTCACCACCAGTTGCATTGCTTCTAATTGCAACACTGCAATCACAACATCTGCTGAACAATAAAGATTGTAGTTTAATGGATCACCTAACAGGTAATTAATAAATCATTATTGCATCTTTGTTAATAATGCAACTTTCAGTAACTTTTTTTGCTAATACTATGGATTGCATTATGCAAGGCTTATATGACTATGGTGATACTTCAATTTATTGGGTATTAGATTTCAGCTTTCTTCTCCATATTTTATCATTAAGAAGCAATATGGCACTTTTAGGAATGAAACAGTCTCTACAGATTAATAATGAACAGCTAGTTGACAGGATTAATACCATCAAAATCAAAAGTTGCCTGGAAAATTTAATATTACTCCAGACAAAATTGAATCTATATCTAAGGGTACTAAGAAGATATCTGAAAGAATTTATACTGTTGAATTTGATAATCAAAATTTGTGAAAAAGTTATGATAAATTAGCAGAAAAACTGTCTGTCCAAGATGGCAATCTGCACACTATTCAAGTAATGTCCAAGGATAAGATGTTATCTTTAAAGGAGAAACTTCAGAACTTGGAATCATATGTGCAGAATGAAGACCAGAGGTTAGGTGACTCAATGAAATCACTAGAAATATATACAGGCCAGGAGATTCAGGCTTTACGAAAGAAAATAATAAAAAAATTTGAAATAATTAAGAAAATTATTAGAGCCGATGAATAGGGTAAGAAGGCACAAGGACAGGATTTAACATCGCCAGTAGCTGTCAGAGATGACTTACCCAGGGTTTTAGCTTTCTACCCTGTAATCTACTCTAACAAAGCATCAGGTT